GAAGAATCCTTTTTTTCCCCATAACTGCTGTGAGCAAGGTCCTGGGGGGATGATAGGTGAGCCTCCCAAAACTCCTTCCCCCCCACTACCAGCTTGTGCTTCCCTCACGGCTGAGGCGTTCAGCTGTGGATGCAGGTGGTCCCAGGAAGGCTTATAGGAGGGTCCTCCAAAGAATCCTCCCGTCCCCCTGCACCCACACTGTGAGCATCAGCCTGTTTGCCTGCTGCTCCCCTCACAATCAGGGAGCTCTGTCCTGTATGCCAGCAGCCCAAAGATGAGGGGTGTGAACTCTGTGGTGCTGACTCACTTTTCAGCAGCTCTCAGTCTGGTAACTTCTGCTGGCACTTGAGGGCTCTGTCCACTGAAAAACCAAAGGCAGGGGAAATCTGATGGGCCTTCTTATCGAGGTACTTTAGCTCCTTGATGCTAGGCCCATCTGCCATGGAGTATCCTTGAGCACTCCCTAAGAAAGGGCCTGATCCAGCAAGCTGCTGATCATCCCCAACTTCCTTTTAGCTCTGTAACAGCTCAGGCTGTCCTGAACCTCACAGGATTATGCTGCTGTTCTTGTACTTTCTGTTGCTGTGTAGCAAGCTGACTCCATAATCTCTGTTTAATCCTGATTTATTCTGGTCATAACCACAGTTATTACCTAGAGTCTCGCATGGTTTGTTGCATCTGTAATCTGAGTGCATTGCACGCGTAAGGGGCTCCTTACGTTTTCCATTCCTTTCATAAGCTGCTTGTGTTCCATCCTCCAATTCCTCCTCTTTCAGGGATTCCTGGCATTCTCTCTCCTCCTCCCCCCAAATAATGGCTGCCATCTACTGGCTTGTACATCTGTAGACAATTACAGATGTGGTTAAAACTTCAGGTTCTGCTAACTAAATGCAGGGGGTTGTGTGTCCCCCCTCTACCTCCTTCTGGCTTTCTGATTTGCACCAAAATTGATAGGGTTCTGCCCATTGATGCCTAAAACATTCCCTGATTTTGGAATTGATTGGATGCAGCATTCAAAAGTCTATCCTGTTACAGACAGGGAGAATACCATAGAGTTGCTTGGCTTGGCCAGATGTTCTTTATTACCTTCTCTGGTTATGCACCCTATGTGCCTCCTTGCTCACTTCTGCTTTTCTTTTCAGGTACATATTCTTTTCCTCTGCCTGGCTTTGCTCCTTTCCTTTACAGGTATACTTTTCTCCTCTCCCCCACTTGCTATTCTGTTCATTCTCCGATACTAGTTGATATATTTTTTCTTAACAACTTATTTCTTATCCTTTCCCAACTGATTTTCTGCAGTACTACACACTTGTCTGGAGGAGCAAATGGAGCCTTTCTTTCCCAGTGACAGGTATCTCCAGACTTGCTTTTCTGCACTTATTAGCTGAGTGACTTTAGGTGCTGCTTATTGGTTGCTAATCACCTGGGGGCAGATGTCAAGGTTTCAAGGAATCATAGTTGGGAGGTCCCAACTGTCATTTTGTTGGCTGATTGGCAATCCTTTTGCTCAGTTATGTCTTGAAACACTCCGCAATCTCCCCACAAAAAGTACTGCAGGTAGCTGGATTGGTAATTTCATTAGTGAGATCAAATGCTTAACTAAAGTGATCCTTGCTTATGTGCACATAATTGAACTAACTACCAAATTTCTCTTTCCACTCTGGGTTTTCACTTGTGGTTGACATTTATTTTCCTTGCTGTTGCTGGGATTAGTTTTCAGTAGATTCTGTTGGGGGATGGATGTGACATGTGAGATAGTGTGAGAGTACTCTATACATAATCCCTGTTGGCTTTGTCTAGGTCAGTGATGCCAAACAGTATAAACAGATTTACATCCAGAATGATGACATGTAGATGCCGAGAGCTGCAAAAAATATTACAGAACACATGCAGTGGGAACCACCTCATCATAAAGTTGCATTTTGTAAAGAATCAGAATGACAATTTTAATATTATGTGGCAATGAAGCTATTTGGGATTTGTCTTCTATTTCATTATCGATGGGCTCTACTATAGGGAGATACGGTGAACTCATTGGTAATCTTGCACTGTTTAAGATTGTGGATTTTGAAAAGCAGCTGACATTTCCCTTCAGAAACAACAGCTGCTGTGGAAAAAGTGTTCCCTTCATTTAAAAAAAAAAAAAAAAAAAGAGAGAGAGAGAAATACAAACTTAAAGTAATAATACAGGTAAAAAGCTTAAGCCCAAATCTTATTTTGGGTTTTATGAAACGTTGATATAAATGTTTTCATCACATTTTTAACAACGCATTCCCCTGTATCATTGGAAATCCAATTTTAGTTTGTGACATCCAAGAAGTGATGATAAGCAGAAACTGAAAATGTAGCTGACCAACTATGCATTTTCAATTAAAAATTGTTGAAACTTAGAGGGCTTTTAGATGGTTGTTAATGTTGCTTATATGTTGGTTATGGAAAGTTTTCACTGCATTGTCCTGTGTAACTTTACACTGGGTGAGGGAGGTTGATAACTATGTATTGATCAACACAAATAATACCATTGCCTTTTTGATGTTTTAAGTCTTACAAATAGCTGGTACACTTTGTGCCACCATTTAAGTCGCTGCCTGTTATGTTTCAGTGGTATGGATAATACAAAAGCCAGTATCCAACCTGTGCAGCAAGAGCACACATTGTTGCACTTTTCTTGTCTAGTCTGTGCACATATTTTTATAATCATAGAAACTTTTTGTACATAATACTAGTGGCTCCTAGAGTAGTTACGATGAATGAAATGCATAAGAAACTAATAACCATATTCAATTTAGGGAGCACGATAAAGGCTTATAGGTGATTGTACAGTAACTCCTCACTTAACGTTGTAGTTATGTTCCTGAAAAATGCAACCTTAAGTGAAACAGTTAAATGAATCCAATTTTCCCATAAGATTTAATGTAAATGCGGGGGGTTAGGTTCCAAGGAAATTTTTTTGGGGCAGACAAAAGGCATTATATACTGTACTGTACTATGGTTGGGAAGTGCCCCCGGCTTACCCCACACAGGCACAGCCCGCTGCAGGCAAGGACACTAGGAAGCACCTTTGCAGCGGCAGTTTGCCCGGAGAAGAACAGGCTCGGACTTTGCCGGGAATGCTCCAGGCCCGCCTCTTCCTGTCCTCGCTCCACTCCAGGCCCACCTCTTCCCACCCCTACTCCACCTTCTCTCCGGAGCACGCCACATTCCTCCCCCCCCAAAGTCCTAAGCGCCGCCAAACAGCTGTTTGGCGGCGCTTAGGACTTTCTGGGAGGAAGGGGGGGGAGTGGAGACGTGGCGCTTTCCCACTCCCACTCCTCCCTCTCCCTCCCAGCGCTTCCCTGCTGCCAAACAGCTGTTTGGCGGCGCTTAGGACTTTCTGGGAGGGAGGGGGAGTAGTGGAGATGCGACGCTTCCCTGCTCCTCCCCCTCCCTCCCAGAAAGTCCTAAGCGTGGGGGAAGCGCTGTGAGGGAGGGGGAGGAGGCGGAGAAGTGCAACTTGTGCAATGCTCCCTTGTAAAGTTGCTGCTCTTCCACAGAATCTTACAAGCAGGCAGCCAAACGACGTTATAAGAGAGCATTGCACAACTTTAAACGAGCACATTCCCTAATTGAGCAGGGGCGTAACATTGAAACAACATTAAGCAGGACGATGTTAAATGATGAGTTACTATACTTTGCATTTAAGTATAGAATAGGGTTCTTCGCTTCTCTGATTTCTACTGTTGACGTACTCAGAAATAGAAACTGTTGCAGAGATTATTCATAAAGCACAGTAAGATTATTTTTTAGTTGTAAAGCTTAGTGCTCATGAAAGTGAAATGAATTGCTCTGGGCAGAGTTGTTACAAAGCACCTACCAGTGCTGTTCTGAGTTGCCTTGGCTACTCAAGGTTACCTCCAGAAGCTGACACATATTAAAGCAATAATGGTTTTGTCTACACTAGGGTTTTAACTTGTTAAAATACTTTCCCTAATGTAAATGTGGTATTTTTGTTAAATCAGGTATTTGCATATGAAACTGACCTATGTGTATAATTGTGCAATTTACTTTGGCAATTGTATACTTATATTATTTAAAAATCTGATTTTTTTTAAATGTCATAGGCTATGTCTATACTACAGCATAATTGGCATAATTTGTTACCTAGGGGTGTGAATAAACCACCCCCCCTGAGAGATGTAAGTTACACTGACATAAGCGCCTGTGTGGACAGCACTATGCTGATGGGAGAATTCTCTCCCGTGGGCTTAGAGCAGTTAGATAGCTTACAGTGGTGGTAAACTCTCTAGTGTAGCCGTAACCATAATTGGGTTTAAGAATTAACACTCCATTGAGGTAAAAGGGAACTGACCATGTCTCAGAGTTGTTTCAGGATATTTGTAGGTTCTTAATTGATTGCATGCAGTTCCCATTTGGAAGATTTTCTTTGCACTAGCATTTGATATGTTAAAAATAAATAAAAGCTTGATTTCTGCTAAGTTGATCATGCCCTGGGGGGCTGATAAATATCTTAAGCAGGTTGCATGTGGCCCACAGGCTATGTTTGAAGGAATTAACTTTTAAAACATGTTTAACAGACATAGAAATATGTATCTTTTCTGTTTCAAACCCACTCTTGACTAAAAAGGAGACCTGTTAAATTCTTAGGGGGACTGGACTTCTTCCAGAAATTGTTCTTGTATAATCTTTTAACAAGCTTCTGCTACAGGCTTGTCTTTTTTAAATCCTTGAGTTAACTGCCAGTTAGCTCTAGCTAGTTAACATCTCTAAAGGCTATTCTGGATACTCAAAACATGTGTAGTTTACCCAAGGCTGATCCCTATCAAGTACACTGAGGTAACAACTCCAGTCTGTACGTAATCTAATTGTATTTTTAGTGTTGACTACAGTAGTTTAAAACAAATACAGTTGGGTTTTAGATGTATATGTACATCGTTCTATTTAGTTAGTTCTAGACTCACTAGTATTAAGCAGCCACAACTTCGCAGTAAACTGTGTTGTTACTAATTTCTTTTGAAAATTAAAAGATTTTATACAAGTAATATTCTACCTGCTATACAACTCGTTTAACTGTGCTCTCACTGGTTCTGTGTCTCTAGAAATAAAACTTTCTCACTTTTCCTAACTTTATTTCTTAATGCTGTCATAGGAACTAAAAAAGTAAGTATTTACAGGTCAATATCTTGTCACTTCTGCTTTTTTTCCCCCCAAGAAAATCACTGGATTGCATGTATTGGTGCTAGGATTTTGTTCACCTCAGTTATAAACAGGTCACTGTCAATTTACGTTTTCTGTCTTCTAATAGAAATGACAGTGTGCTTATAGCAATTTACCATTCACCAGTACAGCAGTTCATTCTGGTTTCAGTTCTTTGGAGAGAAAGATCTCTCATCTGGTTTTACATGAGAACACATAAATCCTGCAATAGTAATGGTGTCCTGAGTACCCTTATTAAATACATAATGCACATGTACCCCCATATATGCACATCACAATGACTGCTATTCATTGATTAATCAGAGGTCATTTGAGGAGTTGCAAGAAACTGTCTCTAATTATGTTAAACTGGATTAAGTAATCTCCCATTTTATCTGCTATGCAGTTGCCTTCTTATGTCCGACTTCAATTATAGTAATGCAGACTAAATGTTAAACATGTAATAGCAGAATATTAAGAGCCAAGACTATCTTCCCCTCTTCTCTGAAGTAGTTGAGAATTGTAACCAGAAGGTGACCTTTAGATGCAGAGCAAGCACTTGCCTGCCACAGATTCACCTGATACAATCATATGTGACTTTTTAAATGGAAGGCTTTATCTGTTCACTTCCAGCCTATATTTTGTTCTTGGTATGATTTAAGAGAACCCAAATCCAATGAGCAATCCCCTCCCATTAATCTAAAACACCTTGTGCAATCACAATACCCGAAGCTCCCACTTCAGTGTCCTTATTGCGCTATTGCAGTCAGTACATTAAAAGTTCAGGTTTATAGACATAACTGTCCTATCCATCTTAGTCAAATGCTGATCTAAGCATGCACTTTCCCTGCACTTTCACATTTTGTACACTTGAGATGGTCAAAACTAGGTGAACAGTATAATGAAATTGTACAACCCTTGCAAGATTGTAGTTTAATTTTGAATAACACCTGTTTTAAGCAATCACTGGCTGTGAAAAGTCCTAATCCTATTCCTTCTTCAGTCCTAATCTTTTTCAGTATCATCATCCCTTTTCCTTCTCCACCTACTGCTCAATAACCACAATTCAGGTTATTTCTTCCTCTGTGGAGGACGGTACTACCTTTCTGCGGATACACTGGAAGGAAACTCCTGTGCAAAACAGTTCCTTGGTGTAAA